ACTTAGTGAGTGCAGAAGAGTTAAGCTGATTGCATTTTTACAGTCTGTATATTCCTCTGCTTATTGTCTGTGTCCTGCTGTTGGAAAAACAGGTTAGTTACATAGTAAATCTCTCTAATCAACACAAGAGAAGAACAAAAAGAACAAACACCCTCATTTGTTATAGCTACTTCAGAAGCGTGGTCATTTGAAGGATGTATTCTGGGAGATCTGTCTCTCTTCTTCAGAAAGGCTTGTTAATATGGGCATGACTAACCAGGCATCTCAGGAGAGGACAAAGGCACACTCATTAAAATTAGCTGAAAAACCAACCCACATAACAGATATCTATCGTAATGATACTTCTGTTGTCTCTCACTGTAATGTCTAAGCAATACGTTCCATAAAGCACGTAAGGCCCAAAGTGTGTAGCTAACAGAAAGGGACTGGTTTCTGAGTTTGGATGCTCATTCTGTACCTGTTTGCATTTGGGTCTGATGTATTCAGTTCCCTTTACATGCTTCTCCTTCCCTTCCCTCCGAATTAAAGCTCATCTCCATTTGGAGCCATCCCCAGTCAGACCTTTTCCTTGCTGTGAGTAACTTAGATATGCATGCTGCAGTGGATATATAAAAATATTGCTGGATGACAAGCTGTAAATAACATGTTTACTGACTCCTGGTGAGATACCGCTGCAGTGTTTAATGCATTTATTAACCATGTAGTGCTGTGATTTGTAGAAGCTGGATGCATAATTGCAAGATAGCATTTCTGTCTGCAAAGGATGGAGGTAGAAGGATTTAGGGGATGGGAAGCAGAGATTTACTAGGTTTGGGAGGATCTTATGATGGTTATTAGGTGCAGAACAAGAGAAGACTGGGTTAGGGTGTGTCTGAGCAAGACATATGGCTGAACTCATCTAGGAGCCATTGAGATTAGAAGGAAACATGGAGGTCCACAGAGTCCTGTGTCTGGAGGAGAAATACCTCTATAAGCAATATTCCTTTCTCCTTTCAGAAAACCCACTAGCTCCTCTGCTGGCCCTGATTCTCCTTTCTTCCTAGGAAAGAAATAAGTAATGTTCTGCTTCTGATTATGAGAGTATTTTTCTTTTCTGGACATGCAGTTGGTTTCTCTACCAGCCCTTGACTAAGTCCAACACTTTAGTTCAAATATTAAAAGCTAAAGGTGGCAAAGACCAAAACAAGGCTTGTGTGACTAACGTACAGGATACTGAAGAACTCATCAGGAGGTGCATGAATATGATTATCTCTAAATATCATCTGTTGCTTGTGCTACCACAGTAATAAGATTCTCTGTAAAAGCAGATGTTCATTTTTATGGAATATAAAAGCTTAAGTGAGTGCAAGGTTGTTGGCAGTATGGGGGCAGCTTCATCAGAGTAGCCCACATTACTGAATTATAGTTCCCTGCAAAGCCGGAGTGAGTCTCAACCCGTCTTACATAACTTTGTTTTACAGTCAGAGGCATGTCACAGCTGAGTGGATAAATCATTAGCAAATGCTATTTTACCTCAGTAGAAAAGATCTCATACATCTTTCCATATGTTTAACCAGTTATTTTAAGCTGCTTTTCTTTCACTGTTTTTTTTTAATTATTATTTTTATCGGCCCAGCCCTGCTTGTGTTTTGTTTAATGACAAAATACCCATAGATCTTTTTGTCACCAGATAAGAGCTTTATATTAAAATTCAAAAAAATATAAGTTCGAATACAGACTTATTAGCCATTTGTGTGTGCTATTTTAGTCCCGTGGAATTAGGTACTTCCAGCAGATTTGAAGGTACCTTCTTGCCTGTATGTTAGGCATGTAGGAGACATGAGATAGGGGTTGGCAGTGAATCTTTGGCATCTTGCATAACGAACAGCTCTTATTTCCCAAATTTGTTGATGGCATAGATATTCCCTGTCAGAATTCTTTGCAGCTGTACGTGATGGGCACACATTTCTATTGTTTAATTTTTTAGGATAATGGAAGGAGTTGTAAGGTAAATATCCGATGGCTGAGGATACCCTTCATAATTCAAATGCATGTCTCCCAGTCTGGTTGTATTTCCACCAAGGCTATCAGCAGAACCTCCAAGCCCTGATTTTTTATAAGGCGTTCACTCACTGTAGCACAAATACATTGGTTCTGCTACACGTAGAGTCCTTTCTGCCCGAGAGTAGGGCAGGAAGAATTTTCCCCTTAGGTTAGGTTGTAATTACAGGATATACACTTTCTATAGCACTCTCTTCAACACATAGGTGGTTTTTTCCCCATTACTTGTGATTTAGTGATGCACTGTTGTATTATAGTAGTGCAGCCTATGCCAGCATTTCCATTATAACCTGTTTTTACAGGTTTATAACTCAACAGTAAAAACGTACTCTTCCAATTTGAAACTTGGCATATAATGTCTCATCTCATCCTCAGAATGATAGTTTTTTCTTTCTCTCTGCCTTCCCCCCCCAAAAAAAAAGAGGTTGCATTTTTGCTGTATTCTTAAATGGAAGATATTGTCCTTTCCGTTTTGATAAGAGAAAAGCCTGCCTGTTTATCAAAATTACTTTTCAATTCTAAGAAAGGAGGACTTTATAATAGAGGATGCATGTGAATAAGTGTTGTTGATGTTAGAATGACTACATTAAGTATATGGATACAGAGAGGTATTACCTTCCAAATGAAAGCTAGGCAATATTGATCAAAATTATTGAAAAGCTTTTTTTATGTTGATTTTGTTTCTGTTGATTTTACCCTTAAAATAGTGTTCTCAAAGGTAAATATGTTTTAGCTGTTGCACTCTATCAGGCTGAATGAAGTGAAGGAAGACTGCATATAGAGAAAATAATGATATTTTTCTCTGTTCTCATTTGAGAAACACAGTACAGAAGGAACGTAAATTCTAACTTTGGTGTTGAGACCAGCTACCAAGAGTAGACTTGTAGTCAGCACAGTGTCATGAATCCAAAGCAGGTGTAAGCAGCAAAGCACAATGTTTCCAATAGACAGATGCTTGTGTAAACTAGGAAATTTAACACTGAATGACAAACTAAGAAATAACAAGCTTGTACGATCCTTACAGTTTACACTATCAAGGTCTGAACTTCTGAACCTGAGGCCTCTGAAGCCTCACATTCCAATTCAATGTAGTATGGGTGTTTAGGATATAAGAAAATCAGGATTGAAATCCAGTTTCTCCTTCTTTACCCGTCTCTTTGGAGCCAACAATTTAGGAGTTGAAATCTACCCAGTTGCCATTAAAGGAAGTTTCCTAACCTCTGTGAATACCACCACCACTGCCAACACAGCAGGAAGGCTGCACTGTGTTGCTTCTTCTTGTAGCGAATTTACTTCCAGACATTTCTTTTTCCATTTAGGTCGTTAAATTTATGCTTACCATAACCACTTTAATAGTACTAATTAGAAGAAAGGGTATGTAAGAGAGAGATTTCATGGAGGATGTTTATTAATGTCTTGAGCTATTATTTTGTCATATATTTGAAAACTATCAACATATATACAGTATGCATTCTTACTATAGCTAAGCTGTCCTCCTCTTAAATCCCAGCTGTTTCAGTTTTTCAGTTGTCTCTAATATATCTATTTATAAATATAGAAGTATCATGAAAAGCAGGGAATGTGCTTCCTAATGAGAAGTTCAGTTCCTTCATTTGGATTCTAAAATCAGAAATTAGGTCAAAGAATATTTTATATCCGTAGGCAGCACCAATGGCTGTCAGATATAAAATAAAACAGCTGTATGCGGAACAGAATTTTTTGAGAGTATAAAATCAGAATGCTCAGCATTTCCTCGCATCAGCTTCAGTCCAGTCCATCTCTGCCAAAACCGGTGGGATTCTGCAGTGTAAAATGAATGCAACACACTGAGATTCAGATCCTCATTTTTTGCAGGAGATAAATTGCAAGTCCAACAAAACTTCCAGGAAGTATCAGACATGCTCAGTGCAGTCAGTAGTTTCGGTGTGTAAATCCAAGTCTTTGTTATAAGACTTGATTGTACATTTAACATTGGTAGCTCCTATAAAAGAGTGCTGTTTATGTTTCTGGAATATACAAAGAAAGAAATGATATTGAGAGTCACTGAAGTACTTAAATCAACCACGGCACCATTTATTGAAAATATCTTCAGCACCATGGGGATTGCTATTGCTGTTATGGAAAAGCAGAAAACTCCCAGCCCAGTCACGTTCACTTGAGCAATGGAAATATCAAACAGCTTATGGTGCTAGACAGAGTGCACACTATTGCTTTCATTTTGTATGATGCTGGCACCAGAAATGTTTCTTGCTTGAGTCAGTGTGGAGAGCACACAGTAATAGGAACAGACGGATGCTCATCATAAGACATGGCTGAAGATATAACAGATTCATTCTTTTATCACCTAAAATATTCCTGCATTTAATCATATTCCATGTATAATAATCATTGAACGCAATGTAAACAAACAGCTCACTTTATTTTAAAAGACATTAAATGTTCCTTTTGTAACTTTCTAGAAGAGACTGTGGCAGCCATGCAATATATTAAAATTACATTTATATTTTCAAAATAATACATGGAGAAATTGCAAGAATCATTAAGGATAAAATACTCCTGTGTTGTATATTTTCCTAAAACTGAGGCATATGATAGATTTTTTGTTCATATGCAGTGGTATTATGGTAATTATTAACTGTCATATTTCATTTCTTCTCATGAACATCCAGCACCATTTTTAAGGGGCCACAGAACATAACATGTTCTCTGCAGCTGATGGCACTCATCATTGTAATTACTAAGTACCCTTAGCTGACTGTTTGAAGTTTTGCTGTAAATTCAAATCAGAATGTGAATGTTATTGGAAAACATGCGGTTATATTTGGAGAGTTTATTTGCTAATCATGTGCAAATCACTGTCAAAATTATAGGAGTATGACAACCCATGTGAATTTATCTAATTGTTTTGTGCTGCTGTATGTATAAGTTGTACAGGGAATAAATTTTGCATTTGTTCATAGGCACAGAAGAAGCGGAAATCCAATGAATCTGTAGATACAGAGCTCTGTCTTAATGAGGTAAGAGTGTGGGTCCTGTATATTTCACAGCACCGGTATCTCCCCGTAATATAAAACGTTCAAAGTCTGTCAAGTTTATAATGGGCTTACCGCACATTAAAGTCTTGTTAGCATTGTTATGTTTGGATACCATAATGTATTAAAGAATGATCTTACTCAGAAATCTGGAGCTGGGCTCAAAGTGGCCTCTGCTGACTTTATATTTTAATAGCTGTGTAGTACATGTTTAGGCAGATCCCTTGGTAATTACCATTGCACCTAGCAAGTATAATTAGTTAATAATCTGCAGGAACACGAGATGATATGGCTTTTAACAAATACAGAAGCATACTAGACATCATTCTGTGGCTAGCAAAAATGACCAATTTTGGGCATGAGATGATATTCGTATCAGGAGACGTGATGCTCCTACATCAGGAGACAGATTGACAGCCCCAAGAGACATGAACCTCCTAGTGCTGTTTGAGTAGTCTGCTCAGCCTGACTTCCAAGGCCCCCTTTCAGACATAAACATTACATCAGTTTCCATGTCTGTCAGTCCATACCCTTTGTACTGAGTCTCTCAGGAAGCTTTATAATTAGTGATGTACATAAATTAATTTTTACAATGTGGAAGCACGTAGCCTAGGCATTGCAGCAAGACCAGCTGTGCAGGCGTAAGCCACCAAAAGAATGTGACCGTATCTTTCAGGTTCTCCTTCACCAGTCCAGATTTGCCCAGTTCTTCTAAACAATGACAGTTCTGTAGCCCATTCCTAATTCTTTAGGTTCTATTAAGAATTTCCTGTGGATACTAGAATGAAGCCTAATAACATGTGAGGGAACAATGCAGATCTGTTGACATCTTGTGCTGGCTAAAAGACCTTACCCAGGAAGGCCCTAGTAACTGTAGCTTACCGTAAGAACTGCTGGTCCGTCTTATCCCATACTCTGTCTGTGACAGTTTCCAAAAAGCAGATGCCCAGGGCTGAGTATAAGAAAGCATATTGTGATAATTCCCCCAATACTTCTACTACCTCCAACAGTTTACATCTCGAGGCCTTCCAGTTAGCCAGTCCTAGCAGGTGATAGCAAAGCGAGGGAATGGCATGGAGATTTATCCATGAGTGCCTCGCTGGCTCTGTAGACAGTCATTCATGTGGAAACTGGTGCTCTATTCTCATTCTTTGTATCGGCTCCTCTGGGTACTTCTAGCTTGTACCTTGGCCCATTGCCTCTCCAGGACGGGGGGAGGCTTGTCCCCTCTGTAGGGTCTGAGCGACTTTGCATGCAGTAGGTTGGACTTCATGGCCTTAGAGGTTCCTTCTAGTCTAAATTGTTCTGATTCTGTGATTATACTTGTTTGTTTGGTTTTTTTAAATAAGGATGATAAGCAATCAGAAATATTCCTGTTGCACCTTCTCCTTAAATAGCTCACTATAATCTGCCAATCTGTACTTGCATATGCATGCAGTTTAATTATTGGTAGCAAACAAGACAAGGCATGTAAATAATGCAGCAATTAAGGGGAAAAAGGCATGAGAAAGATAATTTTTCATAAGCTAGAAACCTCTGTCTTTCCTGATCCCATGGATTAGATTTTATCTGTTGTTATCCAGAAGTAACTTGTAATCAAACAAAGTTGTTCTGTTGACTGTGCAGGAGTTGCAGTTTCTCTGCGGGTCCTGAATTTGCTTTTTAAAATAAACTGGCACAATAAACACAGATTGCTAAAAAAAATGCCATACTTAACAAGGGTAGGTTTACACATGGAACCACTGCTAAAGTAGGGATTTTTTAATACTTTCTTCTTGTTTTTTTAATTGTGCTGTACTGGTGTTTTTCTCCCGTAAACTAACTTTAAAATACTGTCATTTTAACATCTGTTTTTATGCCTTTTGTATCTTTCAATCTGTGACAGTGATATATAGGTAACAGTGGAGGGTGGGACACAAACAAACAAAAGATGGATTTCGTGATGTAGATTTAAATATTTTGCAATGAAAATGTGTAATGGTGACCAAGGAAAGTATTGTGTCTTGCAGAATGCTATTGGGAAAGACAACACAGCAGGAGTCTCCACCAGCCACATATCTTCAGAGAATTCGCTCGCTCTTCCTAGAAGCTTCTATCTAAGCACACCGCTCACTCTGATGACACTTGCACTCTCGCTCTGTTTGTTCCTAAGCTCATCAGTCGTTTTGTAGCTGCATTACAAAAGGACATGTTAAAAAAAAAAAAAAAAAAATCAGTTTCCTGTCCTCTATTGTTTATCTGGAGTTCCAGGTCTGGGAGCTAAGCTGAGGCACTCCTGCTAGAACAGTTTCAGTCAGCTGGAATTTTTTTTTTCTCTCTAAAAAAGCTTCTTGTGATACTTAGAGGCTTTGTGAAATACTTGGTGCAGTGCTACATTCCAAACCCAAAAAGCTTTTGGGCATGCAGTGTTTTAAGAGACAGAGTGTAAATTTGTCTGTAAAGCGACCTGGTTGGATTCTTTTCATAATTATTATTTTGATTCTGGCTTTTACCTGAGAAGGAGGATGGCAGTTTTCTTAAGATCCTATTTATCTCATTGAATGGTTTTGGTTTTCAAATTGATTGAATTTCAGCCTATCAAGGATGCCAGGCTTTTGTCTAAAGGTGAATGTTCTCCCAGAGAGCAGACTTTATGAAACTTCTTCATTTGAGAAATTGCTACTGCGCTACTGATGTTAAACTCTTTCAGTGTGTTAGCATTTTCCTCTTTAAACGTTTACGTACTGTAAGTGATTCTGGGTTCCCTGCTGAGAAGCCATTATAATTCGCATACAGGTGTAATGTACATCTTTCAGTTAAATTCTCATAAGAATAGAATGTGGCATAGAACTTTCTAACAGTACATTTACCTTTTAATTGTAATCATCTAGCCTTAACAAGGGTGAAGATTCTTTAAATTAACAAGAAGCAGCCATTGTGAAAGCTTGATAAAGATACATTTCTTTAAATTTGAGGAAAAGCAGTAGAAACAAATTTTGCTACAGGGTTTCAGCTGTATGGTCTATGGTCTTCTGTGCTTCCATTGTGATAATATAGTCCAGCTATTCTACTGTTTGTTTAATAAAAATTACATACAATCTATTTGCTCTACTAAAACAGCATTATCTGTTTATACATAGCTGATAACGTCAGGTCAAAAAAGTTACAGGAACTTCATGCCTTACTTCTCTTATCACAACATTGTAGAGAGAAAAGAGGTAGTAGGATATAATTTAAACTGTGTTTTATTTCTTAGGTTGCTAAAATCAGAAAAGGATGGTTGATCCAATTACAAGGCAGCGTCATGCACACTCACCCATGTGACAGGCTTTTCTCACCCTGGTAGTTCCTACTGCAGACCTTGGCATTGCTGACATGATGAACCGTTTGCAAGACCAATTCCATAAGTTGTTTTAATGGTTTGGATGGCAGTATTGCCAGTATACGTGGTTTGATCGCTTTGGTTTTCATTCAGTGACATTGACAGCCTGTGCTGGCTCATGATGATTTTCTGCGATATCTAGAAGGAATTCTTTAAAGCTTTAAACGTCATCAAATAGGCAGCATTTCTCCTAAGGGCTGTCTTTATACCTTACTGTGATGGCTTGTTGACTGCTACAAGCAGTTATGTCTAAATGATCAACAGTAATCAGTTTTTGTTTCTATTGAAAGAAGATAACTTCACCAAGCAAGGAGTTCATCATGTTGAATTTACAGATTTACACTGGGACTTACACAATTATGCCCAGGCCTGCTCTGAAATGTCCAGATCAGTTATTTGCAATACAACTGTAAAGTACAAATGACTGTTTTATAAGCTGCAATGAAGTTTGTGAGTGTGCAAAATACACGTTACTAAGAGATTACTAAACCTATTGACAAGTTCGTCTTTTGAGCTTTTTCTTAGCTAATAATAAACACTTTCATAAATTCTGAAATTCACTTATGTACTCTTGATTATGGTCAAATAATATAGGTTTCAAAGCACTGTGTATGTGATAGAATTCTAGGATACTCTGTGCCACTGAACATAACAAATTAGACAATATTACTCTTTAATTCTGTACTGATAAGAAACTGCAAATTACTTTCAAAGGCATCAGAGCTGCTTTCAGAGAAGAAATATATAGCACATCGTTACCAGCAAAGCCCATGTGGTTCCTGTTGCTCTTCTTGTAGAAGCTAATCAAATTATTGAAAACCAGTGACAACAGAAAAAAGATTACGAGATTCATGATTTAAAAAATAAATTATTTTATGTCAAAAGGAGTTGATAATATAACCTATTGAAATGCTAATGAACATAGAATTATAATTCAAAAGTCTGACATTATCCAATTAAAAATATTTTCAAAACAAATTCATAAACATAACAATTATTAAATCCATCTTTGATCCACAAACCTTTCTTTAAAATATCATTTGTATTCAGCACATTAAACATTTTAAGCAGTATCAGGAATTTTAATAACCTCCCAGTATAGTACATACTTTTTGAAGATTTTTTTACATTTTGTTTGATTACAGTATCTCTATTACATTGAATACCAATTATTAGAGCTTTGACACTGTGTGATCCAGAATAAAAGCTATTGATCGCTTATACTGTAAACAACAACCTAATTAGGTTCTGATTACAAAAGAAATTGCTAGTTATCTGATTCAATGAGAATTACCTTTGGAAATACAATTATGTATGTAGTAGAGGAAGAAATGGCGTTTTATACAGCTAGCCATGTTACCAGAAACAAAACAGAGCACTCAAGCTTTTTTTCCTGTGTAAAATAAAAGCATGCTGAATTCTTAATTAAAAAAATAAATTGCTTATTAAACAGGCAAGAGGGAAAAAAAACCCTAAGTCTGACACTTAATGAGGTTTTTACAGGCATCACCATGCAAATATTGGAGGATTTTTAGAAGTTGGATGTGGTGTGGATGATGTCAATTTAGCATGGTGACCTTGTCAATGCATTCATTTGCTACAGTACTGAAGTATGCAAATAGTTTAATTTTTTTCCCCTTTCAGTCACTAAAATGCCATGTGTTGAGTGCTCAATGAACAAGCTTAGGCTGGGTTTTATATATTTCTTTAATACATTAATTTTATCAATATAACAATAATATAGGAGCTCTCCAAATACCGGATGTACATACAGATGCTCTACTGTTTAAATTGTAAATTTAACCAATTCAGTTGTGTGTAAATTAAATCACAGGCTACCATAAATATATACAAATCATCTTTTTCATTTAACATAATGGAACAGACATTTGTCATTAGAATTATTAGGAGTGTGTATACTCTGCCATGTCAAATAACCTGATGATTGTGTTTATATTTCTTCTTAAAAGTAGCACACACAAAGATAAAACTCAGACTGATCTGAAATATACGGCTAAGGTTTTGCACTATTAAACGTAGATATTAATTCCACAAGCTAGTCCAATGAAAGAGGCACTGAAGATGAACCTTTCAGATATTAGTAAAAATAATAGCAATTGAGGCTTTCCCCTGCCCTAGTGCAGGCAGTGACATCCACCAACAGGCAGCAGTCCTACAGGAGTGTCCACGCAGTGATTTGGTCAGTAACGAGGAGTGCAGCCCTCGTTTCATTCACTCTGCTCTCTGAGATCACAGCTGCTTCAAGAGGATGGGGCGGGAGGTACCGAGCATGGAGCAGGAGCTGTCCATCCATCTTCGCTGAGGCACTGGCTACTTTCCATTGAACAGCTTCATTCCTACTGTGTCATTAGGAAGACTTAGGAGGAACAGGAATTCTTAATCATTTCAAAGCATTGCATAGACAGACTCTGTCTGGAGACCTATTCCCAGCCTTTTCTTTTAATGAAATTATGTCCCTCTAAGACCCAACATTTTGAATATGAGGCTGTTCACAATTTGAGGGATGTTGCAGTTTGAATTAGTAGACTGAAAACATGAAAATATACACCTTTGCTAAGCCTGTGCAATTAGCCTGGAGATGAAGAAAACAGAGAAGGGATTACCTTGAAATCTCAATCTAATTTTAATTTGTGATTGTTGGCTTAACCACGACAATATTTCCATGGAGGAGAGATGGTGAGAAACCAGTGAAGGAGAAGAGCAAAACTCAGAACAGTTCCCTGAAGGGACATAAATTTTGTGTATGTCAAGTGACAGGAGTATCTCATACTTAGCACTGGTATTCATTGAAATGAAAGAGCTGGATTCTGCTAGGGACAGCAGCTCCTTCAGAGCGAGCAGTAAAAGATGGAAGAATGAGCAGTTATTTGTACAGCAATTATAACTTTCTTTTATAAAATGCAATTGATTGTCTTCAACACCAAGGTGGATCTACCTCACTGAAAAATATACGTTCACTGGCAGGACTTCTGCATTAAAACTATTCTGGGCTAAGGAGGCCTCCAAGGTTGTTTTATGCCCATAAGGTTAGTCAGATTCTACCTGACGTCCCTGAAATCAAATAGAACTATGTTTGCTTCTGATGAACTTGGCAGAGAAATTAATCCAGTGACTTGTTAAATATTTCTCATCTTTAAATATTTGCTTTTTCTTACCAGCTCAGTTCCATCCTATGACATTTCAATTATTGGCTATTTCAGCTTCTCCTTTAACTTTGGAAGGTCATGTTCTCCGCACTCTTCAGTAATCCACTTTATAGATTTGCCTCAGTGTTGTTGTTTTTTTTTAATTACAGCCTTCACTTCTGAGAAAAAAAATGTGATCACGAATATGTCTCTACTGAACGACTAACACCTTTACGGGAGAGGAAATTGCAAGTTCCTATTTTATCTGTTTAGCACTGGTTTGACTAGAACAAGCTAAAACATGATGTTGCTATTCCCCAGATGGAATTTAAAATTTAGTTTGGTACTGAATAAGGAACAAAAGTTTTAAACTCCCACAATCTTTTAGCAATATTTAAATACTTCCAATGTATTTTCCTGTTGGAATTTCAGTCAAATAGATAAAGTCTCACCAAGTAGTATTTTTTTTCAAGAGTAAGAAGTTTCATTGGGAAATTTTGATGGGTGCATTTTTAAGGTAAAATAAGGGAGGCTGGTGAATTCCCAGTTTTAACTCAATATTATCGTGACTTTCATACACCCTTGTTCCATGTTCTTTTCATCTAAGTATGTTTGCCTTCAGGGGGCGGTTATGCTTAATAGATACGTATTAGATATGGTCACCTCAATAATCAGAAGCCAAGTCCTGCAACTCCTACTTAGATGCTCCATCTCTTTTATCATTCATAAAAGCCAGAGCAACAAATTCAAGATGCGGCCTAAAGATTATCTGAAGTTTAAAAAAGCGCAGAATCAACCAATTTCTTAGTAGCATTTCTTATCAATATAGATTGTGGTATTATAAATTGGTACCATCTAGACTAATCACTAGAGTTCTCTGAGCACATTTCACCAGAGCAGCTGCAGTTTCTGCTGTTTTACCTTTGCCAGGTGCCAACAGCTGAACTTTGCCATGCATACACTTAGAGCTAATTGCTGCCTAGATGACAGCAGCCAAACTTGCTCCCTCTTCAGCAAGGCTTCTTCTTAGCCCATTTTCCCCTGCCGTTAGTGATTCCAACACAGTTTAATTCTTTTGCACTACTTTTTAATTTGTCAAAAGCAGAATTTCCTAGACTCCAGGAGAAAATGAGTCATAGATTTAAGGGCAATTTTCTTCAAATTCCTCCTGCCAAAATACCACAATAATTGACCTCTTAGGGACTTCTATCTTCCAAAGCATTGAATACCCCCTGCCTGGCACCTTCAGTCTTTATGAAAGTGAGCAGGAGTTTCGGGGATTCAGCTTCCAGTAAATGAGGCCACGTTTGCTTTCTGGCTTCTTCAAACTTCTCATTCTACGAATTGGCGTTATGGATAAACATAAATAATTAGAGATGGTGTCGTGGCATTATGCTACTCCCCATATTGGCCAGTCAAGCAGTTTTCCAGCATTGGTACCAATGATGCAAAGTTCCTCATGGCTCCTTCAGCTGGACATTGCTTTGACAGTAGGAGATGACATTCAAAGTCCTGCTGTTGTAAGTGCAAAACTGTTATGCCTTTTATTGTTTTATTCCTGTCTGAAATATAGCCCTCACTCCAC